TTCTTTTATTCTTGTCTGAATGCTACACTGTGTGGTCCTGATGTAAACCTGTCCACAACTGCATGGTATGTGGTATACTCCTGCAGACTTGACCAACCTGAAAAATCAGTAGTGGCTGAACATAGCCTGACTCAAACAGGACGCAGTGTTTTGTTCCAAGACAATACATCTGACAATAGCACTACGGATAAGATTAGAACCTCCTCAGGAAACAATCCATATACAAAAGAACCTCCTCAGGAAAGCTCCTCCATTAGCATGTTCACAGCCTGGGGAACTCCTACAAGATAATGACTCAGCCCTACCCCACCTTCCTCAGTAGATATAAATTACCTGCCTACAATTTTCTTCTCACCTTGACACTGAGAGTACTCCATCTTTCTGTGTTATACCTCTGAGGATGTCAGTCACAGCTACTGGTGAAACGTCAGGTCCTACAATGCCAAGACCACAGCCATACAACCCAGAAAATCTACAACAGCTAATTTCAAAGACATTGTTTATTACTTGGAATAAATGAATTTGTTCAAAAGACATTGTATATTCCAGATGCAAAAATACTGTCTTAAATATAGCTTTAATTCTACATCTTGTCAGAAGCCTGGTGTTCCAGAAACATATACAAGTGTTTCTCTTAATGATGATAGCGCTCTGCATCACCAACACCTGGGGCTCTGCAGTCCATGAGAGTTAGGGGCTGCGGCTAGAAGTGAAAGGCAGCTACTCTCCATCTGTGCAACTGCTCTGCACTGAATTCTAGCTCTATTTTCTAGCCAGTTGTTTACTATTTTACCAATGAGCATGAAACAGTACTAAACCAAGCAGTTCTTTAACTATCATTTGATAAAACTTACACAACTTAGGTTGCATTTTATTTTCACTGACATGGGGAGGGCGGGGTATAAATGGAATAAATAAATAATGACATGCTGGTAAAAACACTGCTATTTTTCCAGGATATCTGTACATTAACACCCTCATCCTAAGCACTCACGTTTGGAAATAAACCATCAATGAGAGGTTCTTGCAGTTTATAACTTTTTATTACATGGCTGTGAGGCAAAACAACATGCATGATTCATCCTTCTTCTAAAGTCTCTAAATTTAAACTCTTTAAATATAGGGACTGAGCAGAATTTAAAGTCTGATTTATTTCAAAAGTATACTGCATATTTATATTTACATTTTCTTTGACCTGACTGATATCTTCATAAAACTACTGAAGACCTCAGGCATTATCTACAGAAGGCATCTGCTGATATTAAATTGGCTAGACTGCAGCATCATAAGGCACTTAAGAAGTTTCTTATCATTCATCTCTAGTATCAAATGGCCTGATAGATTCCTTCCTGCAGCTACAAAACTAGGAGGGAAATACTCCAAACATCTCGTCATCTGAATTGTAAATGTTGTTAATAATAACATTAACAATAATAACAACAATCACAAAGCATCAGCAGCAAAGAGCAACTACAAATAAGTAATATGAATTCTAGGCTATCATCAAAATAACCCTATTCTATAGTTCATAATATAACAGAACAATTTAGGTGCTCCTCCAACTAGCAGGATTAATCTGAACATTTAAAACAGTTTTGTATGAAATTCCATAACTAGTATCAGTAACAGATTTCAAAGCAGACGAAATTAGCATATATTATGTCTGTGAATAGAAATAGGATGGGAGATAAGCTCCAGTTTGCAGTGTTCTCATACAGATTCTCTCTAAATATTATTTTTATTTTAAAGCATGCCTTCCTTGAAGTAGAAGGCTGCCCCACCCCTGACCTCCTCTAGCTTCTTTGGAAAGAAGCCAGATTACAGCATTGGGGAAAGTGAATATTTATCTCAACAAGACCAGCTGTGTAACTTAAAGGTATTACCTGTTCCCCCTGATAGAGCATTCTTATTTTTATGCCACCAAATCTGAGTGCCAAATCATTTCCATGTTGCTGTTTTAGTAGATATATTTCTGATTAATGGAAAACCGGAGACAGGTTCCAAAGGCCACATTTTTAGATTTCTAAATATTCCAAAATAGGCCAGTCACCATAGCAACTATTTTCCCTAGTAAATAAAGAAGCTGAGCTCTCTACACATGGATATGCATTCTCATTTTTAGTTAGAAATAGAAGGGAATGCATTGAAAGGTTTCCTAAATACTGTTTTTATACATAAACTTGAAGATTATTTTGTAATGTCTTCAACCACAGTTCAAGTTATGCTCTTTTGATGCTGGACTAGAGTATCTTGTTTAACTAAAAGTATGAACAACTACCAAAAAAAATTGTTGTGAAGCACATAATCCTTCCCTTATGACTATGAGAATATTGAAACCAACAAAATTGCTGAAATGTTTACTTACTGTCCTAACACTGTGCCTGCCCAAGACAATTCATAAGTATTGCCAAAAGCACACATTTATCTGCTTCAACATCAGTAATAAATCAAGGATTGTAAAGATGATTTAGAAAACACTCTTTAATAGGGAAAATCCCTACTGGTAATATTATTAAAGCACCTCTTTCAGACAAAAAAATAAATCAATCTTGACGATCTTTAACAGTCCTATACGGAATTGTATTTCAAAGTAGACAACCTATTTCCTGCTATTATATGTTGAGATGGGCTAAAGGCATAGAAACATGTCAAAATTCAGGATTTTCTATCTAGAATTAGAACAGTGTGTCTCGCCAAGACGTTGGTCAACAAGATATACAATCCTTTCAGATTCCCTTGTCTTTCGTCTCTCCCATCAGATAATAGCAGTATTCGCTATTGTAGAAGGAAGTGATATATTTCCCAAGTCATGATAGACAGTCTAATTGAAAAAGAGATGCACTACTTCAGTGCTGATGACTTAGGACACCTGTCCATTGTGAGCTACAGAATAAAATAGCATTCATAAAAATTTTATTGTATTGATACTGGCAACGCAAAAGCTTATCAAACAAGTACAGGCAAACAACCAAAATTCTATCTGCGACAGTATAATGTTTTTAAAATGATACATTGTCTCTTCATAGAGTATTTTCTCTTTAGTCCATTCAGAGAGCAATCCTAAACTGGTCTATTCAATGGGGGTTACTCTTAGAAAATTGTTCTTAGGCTTGCACTGTAAATTCCTTAGCATTCCTAAAGGAAGCAGAATGTACCTGTTTTTATGTCTGCACTGAAATATATACCTTTAGGAGTCAAACCACTCCCTGTGCTGATTAAGTCTTGACCAGTGATCTCTTCTGAAGTGAAACTACCTTCCCATATGGAATCAACAATGGTTATTATTTTGATTAGTGACAGCCAGGAATTTGTTCATAAGTAGCTCCTATATTAAGTTGTGGTACATACCAAGTGACAAAATAGAAGCCTTCATAGCTTGTTTGTAGTACCTTTTTTAACAACTATCTTGGAAGGCATCATCACACTTAATACCTATAACCAAATAATCAACAAGATCTAGACATCAAAAATTACTATAACCTCCTGAATATTCAACCAAAGTGACTATTGTAACAAAGCTGAAATCTGTCCAATATATTTCTGCAGAAAAGAAAATCTACACAGGTATTTTCAGATAAGAAAATAACTACCAGTAAATCATGCCTGTAGCTGTGATAGTAATTTCAAATATTTGAGGCATCACTTTGAGATCAAAGCTCATAACTGGTTATTAGTAGCTAAAAAAGCAGAATGCTTTGGCTCCATTTGGAAGAGTTTCCAATAACTGAGATGATGACCAGAAATCCCAATATCCAGTTAACATTATTTTAAAGTAACCAGTTTTACCACTGAAAAGTTGCTCTACTTTTCTCTAGCTGGTTTATGAAGAAAATTTAAAATATATATTTTTATATTGACAGCAACAAACACAGAACAAACCAGAAGCGATCCTCACTATGTTAAAAGTATTTTAAAGTACAGATGTTTATTCCCTTCATGTTCTTGTATTTGTATTACCAAACATCTACTGCATCCCAGCATTTACTTCATCTAACATGACGCATTTGACCAAGTTCATTAAAAATTGGAAATACTGGATTTTATGTCATTCAGTTCAAACAGGTGATGAGGTTTCAATGTCTGTAACAATTAGTTGCTATTATAAGACTCTGAAGTACTGAGGTTATACATTTGCACATAACTGAACTTACATAGTCACTCTTTCATTTTCACAGCATTCCAAACATCTATCAATCCATAATATATTAAACAAGCCATAATAAGCTCTGCTATAGTTCAGCAAAACAACCTTCTTTGCCTGTATTACTTCTACAAAGGTTAGGCTTCCACAAAAACTTATTAAATGAAGAGGTTTCAGATACCTTTAACAAACTTCTACTGGCAGGGCTTTGTGCAAAATTAACGCCTAACTTCTCCATTTCGTCAAAATGATCATGATGAAGAAAACACCTGGCCAGCCTCATGAAAAAAAAAAATCTATTTCAACAATATGGGTACCAAGGACAACTGCATTCTCTATAAGAAAGAAAGAGATCTACAGTCACCTTTTTACACCTCACTGTAGGTAATCAAGGATGAAGTTCAAGTTTCGTCCACTTGGTTACATACTATCAGCCTTCCTGTTCTAGCCACACTTAAGCCAAGACAAATTGCCAAGGCTAATTATCACTATTTTCCAAACATTACATCACATGGTAATGAGATGTTATCAACAGCACGCACACACTAACATTATTTCGAATTAATCCTTTTCTGTAATTTATTATTTCTTCTCTTTTTTTGTAAGTAGGGCACTTCTTCCCCCCTCCCCCAATGATCAGGATTTACATAAAATATGGATGAGGGTTTAAAACTTCCATTTCATGAATCTGTTATTTTACTGACTCCATCAAGAAATAAGAAAATATACTGCAATAAGCAATCCTGTTCTGGACATGTGGCACATGGAGTGGCATAGCCTAAACTATTTAAAAGAGTCATTCCCCATTTTTAACTTCTCCTGCATCCATATTAAGAGATGGGAATAAACATCTTTTTACCTTTGCTTCGTTTCTTTCTGGGGCTCTTTGGCAGCTTTCGACTCAAGTCTCCTTGAAAAAGAACAAGTGAATATTTTGTCTGGCGTCTGGGAGTTTCACTAGCGTACTCCTTTCCTTAATGCTTTTACTTACAAAAAGTACCCGTATTTTTTCACGCTGAATACGAAAAAAATCTCACACGGCCAAGAAAGTCAGGGTTTTTTTAATGTTTATGTCCGTTCCAAATGTAAAAGACCAAACAAAAACAAAAACCTGCCACAGAGGAAGCGGAGGAGGAATCAGACAAGAAATCAACAGTATCCAAGCAGAAGAGCTAAAAGCTCCAGTCTGATTCCAGCCCAGTGGAGTAAGTGCAGCAGATGCAGGTCCAATTCCAAAATAAGCCTTTTTAAAATTTCCAGTGAAACAAAACTAGCAGTTACGAGTTCCTGGCTAGCGTTTTGCACACGGAATTTGCTTTAGAATTAAATAAATGTGGTTGCAGCAAAAATGTACTGTGAGGATGCAAGACAGTGAAAAACGTTACACTTTGTAGCTGATCAGTTTTTTAAAAATGGTGTTTGAAAGATTCTCATGGATGAGCTGCTGAACATTTACATGGATGAGCTGCCGAAGATTTCATTATCAAAAGTGCAAATTAAAATGGAGAAAACTGAACCCATCCAAAGGTTTAAAGGATAACACCTCCAAGAAAAACAAAAAGGAGCCACAGAAGGATCCAGCAGAGTTTCGCGTGGGGATCCAATAGAAGTAAGTACCCAGCGCAGTCTTGCTAAAAGGAAGGCGAAACACAAACAGAAAAAAAATCTAGCGGTCTCTCTCAGGAATATCCAAGGGGAGAAAGATCCAAACAATGTCTCAGAAGGCAAGGATCCAAAGATGCTAGGGAAATCCACCAGCTGTGCCTTTCATGTGGATTTGAGGAAAGGCGCTCCAGCAAGCTCTTCATATACAGGATCCCAAAAGGATCCAGACGATAGTCTTCTTAATGAGGAGGGGTCCTCCAGTCCCTGTTTCTCTCAAGAGGATCCACCCAGCTGAGCCAAACATAGGTGAACGCAGGGGGGAAAAAGAGAAATCTAGTCTCTCTCCCTCTCTCACACAGGGACGGGTTCCAGGGCGATCCAGCAGCTGAGTTTCTCTTAAGGAGATCCGTCGGTCTCTCCCGCAGTGGAATCCACCCAAGCAGGAGCTGGATGCAGCGATTTCTCGAGTACGTTCTCCTTCCCCTTCACAGGAACTCGGAGAGTCTCTCTAGAGGGATGAGTGGGATTTATGGAGGCAGCCGCAGCTCCTTAGCCGGAGCTTTCCCTTGGAGGAGAAGAGGGTTGGGCCGCTGGCGGGACAGGTAATGCCACCGGGCTCAGAGATGCTGTCGCGCCGGCCCCCCGCTCCTCCTCACAGCCGCTGCCGCCGCTTCTGTCCTCCGCTTCAGGAGCAGAGCTGCTGCCACCGCGGCCATTTTGTTACTAACTGACAAGACTCCTGGCAAGCTGGCAGGCAGCGCGAGATCAGAACGGGGGAGGGGGAGAGAGAGAGAGAGACGCGAGACCTACTCCCTCCTCCCATCCCTGACCTCAACAGGAAGTCTCGTCCACCTCTCCGATCACGTGGTAGGAGAATGGCATAAAAGAAGGCTCTGAGACATGCAAATCAGGTAGAAAAAAAAAGAGAGAATGGCGCTGCTAGTTAGCACCGCCTTCCTCCCGGGTTTTCATCTCTCCTGAGAGCTCTTGCTTTCTTCTGGCAAGGTAGCTACGCTGTTGCAGTGGTGCTTGCCTAGCTGCTTGCTCTGTTTCTGCTTCGTCCATCTTGTCCGTGTTACCTAATCTACACAGAGGGGAGACATCACATCATTTCCGTCGGCTTTGCGGGTGCAACGCACTGTTTGTGAAGATCAGGGTTTGGGCAGTGGTTTTTGCACGGGAAACCTAGCACTAAAGAGTTTTTTAAATAGATATACGCCAGGGGAGGTTCCACTGACATGCGCTTTGACTCATACGTTTCAGCCACCTTATGTATCACAGTCTCAATGAACTGCTGCTGTTCTTTTTAGCTCTAGAGAATTCCAGTAGTGTTTGGAAAGCGAGCTAATAAAGCAAAACGAACCAGCCCACAATACACTCGGCTGAACTTGCCGGTCACCCAAAGCATGCTTTTTTTACCAAAACAACAAAAATACAATAGTGGAGTTCTTCCCTAATACCAAACCTGCAACATATCTGGCCAGTTTGTCTACAGTCTAGGGAATGTAATCAGTACGATGTAATCAGTTATAATATGCCTCTTCTTTTTCTCCCATACACACACACTCTCCCCCCTCCCCTTCAAAGACCAACTTCGAAGTGAATTAGATCTCACAATCTAATTGCAAAACACACACTGAGGAAGGAAAAACTCCTCCTTTGAGACCCCCCCCCCCCAAGCTTGCTGCACTGGCTATAAACAAAACAAACCTGACAGTGACGTATCTAAGACAGTACTTGCTTGTATAGGATGTGCCAGAGCCAACGAAGGTTTTTATTCAGTGCTGATACATCACTGCAGACTGCTTGGCATTTTTAGTAATAGTTCAAGGAAGGGTGGAAAACATACCCATACCAGAATGAACTCTTAGGTGTGGATTCTGTGTGTTTCAGGCAACAGTGCCAAGAGAATCTGTTTGTTCATTGTTGGACCCGGTGTATACATATGGACTTGACTATACATGGAAGAGCAGAGAAGATGTAAATTTCATAGGCAGCAAGCCTATTAATAAGGAGTATTGAACTGAGTGTGACTTGTTTCTGATTAAATGTGCATAGGATGATGCTGGGTTTCTGTAGCTAGGCATTATGTCTGCAAATACAGAGGCAAGAATTTTAAACTAGATCCAGGCTGCTTTAGTTTAAACACCTTGGATGAAATGTAAATTGATACCAGATACCTTGTATCACGCCATTTTGCTTCTCATTAACTAATCAGAAAGTATCATCCATCCTCTTATTCCATAAATGCAATCAATAATGTGGATTTGGTTCCCTTATCACTTCACCCCTGTTATGTATTGGGATTGAATCACCCTGACTGAATCATCCTAGAGACTGGCTGAGCTTGGAGCACAAGAACAATAGCTGACCAGGACTCTGGAATAAACCAAACAAGTAGTAATGTTTTGTAAATAGCCTATCAAGGGGAGTGTGTGTGTGTGTGAGGTGGGGTGTTTTGCATGCATACAAGCAGGGCTCTGGCCCCTGCTAGAGTTGTCTTAGAGTTAAGCTGAAATCACTCATAAACTATGAGCTGATCACTATACGCATCTTGAACCCAGTATATTTCAACCCCCAAGTGTTTAAAAGCTGAGAAGAGTCCACCCTTTACGCACACTGTTGTGAAAATTCAGATAATGCCTGAAAGGTAGAAGGAATACAGACAAAACTGCATGATGTGATTTTGAATGTACATCTTGTATCCTGCAAAAGCAGAATACCATCAAGTTCAAATGCCCTCAACTCCTCGGCCTGGAGGCAAGGAGTGGAGAGCACATGGTGGGTTGCTGATAAAAGATAGGGGAAATGTACAGGAAATGGAAGGAGGGTCAAATTACTGAGGGTGAGTACAAAAAGCAGGCTCGAATCTCTAGGGATGGTGTTAGAAAGGCTAAAGCACAGATGGAGCTGAGGCTTGCGAGGGATGCTAAAAACAACAAGAAAAATTTCTATGCCTATGTTCGAAGCAAAAAGAAGAACAGGGATGGAGTAAGCTCATTGCTAGGGGGAAACGGTCAAGCCTTAACCAGGGATGAAGACAAAGCAGAATTACTCATCTCTCACTTTGCGTCAGTCTTTAACCATAAGGCGAGGTGTATGCAAACTGAAGAATGCAGGGCATGTGAAGGAAGGAGAAACTGCCAGTCCAGAGTAAGTAAGGAAATGGTTAGAGAGCATCTAGCTGCCTTAAATACTTTCAGATCTCCAGGGCCGGATGTCTTGCATCCCAGGGTGCTAAAAGGAATTGTAAATGTTATTTCAGAGCCTCTGGCTCTAATCTTTGAGGTGTCCTGAAGTACTGGTGTTGTGCAAGAGGACTGGAAAAAAGCAAATGTTGTCCCGATCTTCAAGAAGGGAAAAAAGACGGACCCAGGAAATTACAGGCCTGTCAGCTTGACATCAATATCTGTGAAAATTCTAGAGCAGATTATTAAACACTCTGTCTGTGAGCACCTTGAACGGAATTAGTTAATTGGTAGTAGCCAGCATGGGTTTATCAAGAATAAATCATGCCAGACCATCCTTATCTCCTTTTTTGACAGAGTTACCAAAATGGTTGACTCTGGCAATGCTGTGGATGTAGTGTATCTAGATTTCAGTAAAGCATTTGACAAAGTTTCTCATGATATCCTTGAGGATAAGCTCGTTAAGTGTGGGCTGGATGGTGCAACCGTTGGATGGATTCATGGTTAGTTGAAAAATCGTACCCAATGAGTGCTCGTAAGTGGCTCTGCATCTCCATGGAGGGAAGTACTGAGTGGAGTGCCGCAGGACTCGGTCCTGGGCCCGGTGTTGTTCAATGTTTTTATAAATGACCTGGAGGAAGACATAGAGGGGATGCTTATCAAATTTGCAGATGACACGAAGCTAGGTGGGACTGCTAATTCTGAAGAAGACAGAGTCAGGATTCAAAATGATCTAGATAGGCTGGAACAGTGGGCTGAGACAAATAAAATGAATTGCAATAGAGATAAGTGCAAAGTCCTACATTTAAGTACAAAAAATCAAAGGCACAGATATAGAATGGGAGGGACTTGGCTTGACAGCAGGACATGTGAAAGGGATCTAGGTGTTCTGGTTGATCACAAGCTAAATATGAGCCTGCAGTGCGATGTGGCTGTGAAGAAATCTAATGCAATCTTAGGATGCATTAACAGAAGCATTGTTTTCAGATCACAGGAGGTGGTAGTTCTGCTCTATTCTGCTATGGTCAGGCCTCACCTGGAGTACTGTGTCCAGTTTTGGGCACCACATTTTAGGAAGGATGTTGACAAGCTTGAGCATGTCCAGAAGAGGGCAACCAGGATGGCGAGAGGGTTGGAATCCAAGTCTTATGAGGAAAGGCTGAAAGAGTTGGGTATGTTTAGCCTGGGAAAGAGAAGGCTTAGAGGGAACATGATTGCAGTCTTCAAGTATTTGAAGGGCTGTCATGTAGAAGATGGAGCAGATCTATTCTCTCTTGCTCCGGATTGCAAGACTAGATCTAATGGATGGAATTTACAAGGGAGTAGTTACTGGCTAAATATCAG